CCGTCAACCATTTATAGCACCTAACGCCATCTTTTGCAAACGGACCGAATTAAGTTGTACACCCAATATATGTTCCGAAATACAAATTATTGTTTCTGAACTGTTTGGACCAAACTTAAGCATGGGCCACTTTGTCCGAAAAATATCGGTTGACACCAATATTACAGATTTTTTTTCCATTTTCTGCAGCTTATTGGGAATCGATACAGTGAGGTAAGCTATGGTGATAACAAAAACATAACCACTCGAAGTTTTATCGATTGATAATATTAATTCGATCACCATAATAGCTCTGAGGCGTTGAGAATTGGTCATTAGCTACCTAAAAATTTTGATTATGGATTTATTAATTTCTTGCAATTTTCACATATTCACCCTGAGGCCCTAAATTGGTGCTATGGGAATTGAAATTTGATTACGAATTTGATAACTCCTAAAGGTATACCAATTGATTTTATTCGCTTTACTGCTGGAAAATGTTGAATAACGGTTTGCTAACATGCTGTTACAAAAGACTTTTTTTGGAACGATATATACCGTTCATTATGTATTCGTTTTTTCTACTTCCTGTTTCAAGTTTAAGGTCCGTGAGTGCGAGCTCTTTAATTGAATAGCTATTCCATCGGACTTCACTGTGGAAGACAACCGAAATGTCCTTTCAATGAGCTTTATTGGAAAAGTCCTGACGATGCAATAGACAAAAGCTCAAGAGAGTAAATACCACTATTGAAAAAATATGTAGGAAATAAAGATAGCGAATAGAAAAGTAAAGTAATATCATTGCCCAAGGCTCCATTTGGAGTCCTCGAGTCGCCAGGCACGTCTCTCTCTCTTCTCCTCATTCTATTTTATATGCCGCCAGAACAATCATTCAAAGAGTCAAAGAAAAAAGCGGGTTTTTTGGGCGGGTGCATTTGATTGATGGCTTTCGCCGCAGTGCGATGTTGCTTTTGGTAATTACCATAGTGGCGTATCTCACATAAGCTGTTAGCAATCAACGTAAAAGTATGCGATAACATGCTACGTAAGAGGAAGATAGTCGACTTTTGAAGAAATTTGATAGAATTCAGTTTTCTTGGGGATCTCA